TAAAATTAAGACCAATTAAAAATCTCTCAAAAAAGAGAAAGATATAAACTTTGCACATATGTAAAACAAGTTTCAACTGACTTTTCCCAAATACCCCACCATGTGGAGTGTCGATTTCCCTATACCAGTCCCTTCTCCAATCACTTGCAAACCATTTGTTGTCTTCTGGGTATCCATCATTCTGAGCCACTGGCTAATTTATGTCACTTGTAACAATGTCATGACCACTAAGGATTTTTCAAAGACTCCTGAAAAATAAGAAGTAAATAAAACAATTAAAGAAAAATTAGACTGAAGTTTGGGGGAAAAAAAATACCAACAACAATGCAGCTTGCATAGTTTGCGGAAATTAATTCAAAAGAGTATTTCCTAAACTGAAAATACTTTTTTTTTGTTCTAGTGCAGACTGTGAACTCAAAACTTTAAATTAAGAACTACAGGGATCCAATCCTGCTCCTGTTGACTTGAAATTAACTAGAATAAATATATATCTCTTCAAGATGCATGAGGAAGTTGAATTGCAAAGTCATCAATGCAGTATCTTTCCTTCAGCCACACTGCTCCCTTTTCACTACTTCAATGAAAAACATTCTCTCCCACACCATGATGTCCTTTCAGCCCTTTATACAGTACAGCAACAACTCCTTACAAAAAAAAAAAAAAAATTCTCCAGGCATTCTATAAATACTAGTTCAACCTAGACCTACTTATAATATTTGGCAAGAAGAGACCCGACAGAACTGCATGAAATGCTAAAAACCAACAGAGCTTGAAGTAAAAAAGCACAAGAGAAAAACACAACCACTCAGATTTCAAATCAGACCCCCCTGGCAACTTAAGAGTGGGTCAAAATGAGATGATATCCTATTTAAACCTTCAGTGTGTCCAGCAGCCCTTTTCAGAATTACCACTCTGCAGCATGTAGAGACAGTATTCCCTGTCTGATGAAACTAATGGTTGTAATAGAAGGCAAGAACATAAAAATATTAACCCATGTCCCTTAGAGCATGTTTAGCTTTCCAAGTAATGTTGTAGGCTGCACAAGAAACAGCATGGCCCAGGGCTCATACAAGGTGAAAATTAATGAATTAGCTCAAGTACACAAGCTTGTTGAAGTGTAAAGGAAAGACAAGCACCCGACTTTTCACACAGCGGCAAGAGCACTATCACACTGCTACTCAACTCTGTTATCATATATTTTGTCTAGCCAGGAAGTTGACTTGTTTATACAATTACAAGCTGTACAGATAAGAACCTTTATCATTGGATATATCATACTAAAATACATAACTTTATTTTTCAAGGGACTTTTAGTCAATTCCTTTGCATGAAGCAGTCTCAGCACTCCAGAGTAAATAAAAAACAGATTACACGACATGATAGAAACTCCTGAGAAATTTCTCACCACAAAAATTCATCACACACTCAAAGGTTAGCAACACTAAGAACCTGCAAGTTATTCTGTTTTAAGCATGCCCCTTGGTTTTCTAAAACGTTGGTATTTCTTTGCAAGGCCCTGTTTACCCTATCAGCTCTCTCAAAAGGAAAACAAGTTTTTTCTTCTGATTGTGTTTAGTTTCTGTTACTTCTGCTTTTCTTTTTAAAGACTGAATACTGAGATGTATAAGGTTTTCTGAGATGTACAATACCTTCCCCAGCTATAATCACCCAGCCAATAGTACCACAACACTGAAAGAAATACTTTTATTTCTCTTACAAATTTAATAGCATTAAAAAAAAATTAGTTCAAAGACAAATGCAATGAGCAAATAAAATAGGTCTGCCAATACTAGATATGAAGAGTGGTACCAAGAGGCCTGCCTGTACTCTTGAAAGTTTCTAACATCACATTACAGGAAGGTAGTGGTGATTTTGCACAATGTACAAACACTGGGCATCAGATGAACACTGCCAGGAAGAACAGCCAAGTAAAAGACTGCTGCATCAAGTACTGCAACAACTCATCACAGCCACGTGCAGTAACTGCATTACAGACGGGCAAGTACAAAGGAACACATGCTCAGCCTTACTAGGGCATGTTCTAAACAATTAATGCTACTTTCCTTCTTTAAGTCTGAATATTGAAAAATGTAATGCAAAATATGCTGTGAATAGGACTAAATGATCATTATGCCGTGGCTACACTTCCTTGAGTAGATGAGTGAATCTAACAACTTGCTGCTGCAGAAAAGGGGCATCACTTTTCTTTTATTTCCCTTCCCCACACTTTCCCTGCCAGCTCACGTCCTAATCAGATTTTTTATGAACTAAATGAACTCACAAAACAGCAGAAAACTTAGTAAAGAACAAGTTTTTCTGCTAATCCATGGAATTAAACTGGCCTATGAAAACTCCAGTGACCTAGGGAGGGCAGAAGACAGAAAATAAGGAAAAGATGAATATCCAGAGACATATGGCCTTGAACTGCTAAATGCCTGAGGAACTAGCTGGATGGCCACAACCAAACAGCTGCAGCTCATTGTACCAAGCACAAACCAGTGGTGTCCCTCAAGGGTCCACAGTGAGGCAAACACTGTTTATTATCTTCAGCAAAGAGACACAGATTGTGGGATCAGGATTCTGCCCCTCCAGTCTGTATGGCGAGAGTCCCCATTAAGTGCTGCGAACTGAGGAACAATGTGGACCTGCTGGAGCGAGTCCAGAGTGCCCCTCCTGTGCAGAAAGGCTGTGAGAGCTGAGGTTGTTCAGCCTGGAGAAGAGCAGGCTCTGGGGAGACCTCACTGCAGCCTTTCAGTAACTAAAAAAGGCTTGTGAGGAAGAGATAGAAGCCTTTTACTGGGATCTGTAGTGACGGTACAATACAATGTGCAGTGCTTTTAAATTTAAAGAGGGCAGATTTGGATCGGATTAAAGGAAGAAATTATCTACAATCAGGATGGTGAGACACTGGGAGAGGCTGCTCAAGGAAGCCATGGATGTCTTATCATTGGAAATGTTCAAGGTCAGGTGGGACAGAGCTTAGAAAAACCTGGTCTAGTGGAAGGTGTCCCTGCCCGCTGCAGCGGGGGTTGGAACTAAATTATCTTTAAAGGTCCCTTCCAGCCCAAACCACTGCATCAAACAATTCTACAGAAAAGGGACCTGGGCCTTTTTGACAATAACTGTACTTTGAGAAATGATACCTCATGAATTAGAATCAGTTACAAACTGCAAAAAGCAGGCAACAACAGTGATTACACTACAGAAAAGAGGACATCTCCTTGTTTACAGGCTAAAAGGACATTTAAAAATAACCTTTTTGTAAATCTTACAAGTCTTGTTTCCTTCATCAAGGGGATATGGAAAAGATTAAAAGAAAGAAATGTGAAGAAAAAGAAAGTGGTATTAGTTACCTTTCCATTCTTTATACAATAAGAAATCAGAGTACTAAGGTTTTTCTTTATCTGAGGTCATAACTAGAAATATCCAGATCCCAGTCCCTCCCTCAAAAATTGACAGTTTTGGCCACAAAATATATTTTATTACATGCAACAGTAACGTTGTTCCTGTGAGAAGCAACTCTCTCTCCGGCACAGCCTGCAAGTACTGGGCAGAACTGCAAGGCTCCATGGTGTGGGGGCAAACATAATTCCCTTCCTGAAAATAGTCTAACATAGACGAAGCAAATAAAGATAAATCTGATCACACTGCAAAACGAACCAGTGTGCAACATCATTACTCCACTGTTCTAAGAGTTTCTTCTACAAGCAGACTTCTCTGAGATGCCCACATATTAAATGCTTTTATGGGTGTATGACAAGGGACAGGGACTACGTTTTGCTGGCAAACAATTCAGTCCTTCCGAAACAAAAATGCGAATGTAGGAGAAACACAGCCTGAACTAGTGCTGTTTATTTATTATAGCTGCAGCGAAGAGGCAAGATTTCAGGAAGGCAGGCGATCTGTGTCCCAAGGCAGTGGAAACGAGAGGCACGGGGGCGTGGATGCCTCCTAACCAGCCGTCAGGGCAGGGCCGGCCCAGCGCGGGGCTGCTGCCTTCCCTCCCTCCCTCCCTCCCCGAAACGTGCCCGGCCTTTTCAGATAAACCTATGGGTACACGCTGCCTCCTGACTTCTTATTCCACCTCCAGAGTGATCCACACGCTACTGCAGAGGAAAAAAGCGTGCACAGAGTTAATCGCTGAACACTAGAAAGCCGTGCCAGGGGCAGATGCGGGCGGACACACACACGCGGTGCCTCTCTGGGCGCATCTCTGACGGGCGAGGCGCGGAAGGCCCGCACCCTCCCCCGCAACGCTACTGACATGAAATACTCAGTCGGCATTTCGGGACCCCCGACACCCCCCCGCTCTCCGCTCCGGTCGCACCGAAGGGACCGGGCCGGGCCAGGCCGGGCCCGCGGGCCCTGGGCTGTGCCGAGCGGGGCCAGCAGCGCCCGAGGTATTTCTCGCTCCCTCCCTCCCTCTCTCCTCCGCGTCCTTCCGCCCCGCTCCGTCACTCACGCGGCGCGGTGGGAGGGGACGGCGGCCAGGGCCGGTCCTGCGGCGCCTCCCCGGGCAGGGAGGGGCCCGCACCTGCTCCCCCCCAGCCGAGGCCCGGAGGGAGGCGGCCCCGCAGCGCTCGCCCCTGTGGCGGGAGCGGCCGCGCCGCCGCTCGGCGCGGTGCCCGGGGCAGGGAGTAAATGATTAACCTGCGGGCCATTGAATAGCTGCCTAAAGGCGCGCCCAGGGTGGGGTTTAACCTTGTCCGAGGCTCGGTGCCTCCCGTGTGACTCTGCCCGAGACCCTGGGGCGGCCAGTTCTGCTGCTGCCGCCGAAGCGCTGCGGGGATGCGCAGCTCCCTGTTGAAAATCTCTGCTCTAAATGTCAGCCTAGAGCTCGCCTCGCAGTCGTTTTTGGAAGTATCAGGCTCAAGAGGTCGAGGCGATGTGGGGGTTTCGGCGAGCGGCTCTGCAGCAGCAGCCTCGGGCTGCAGGAGCTCGAGTGCTTGTGGCTGGCTCGGCGAGCGGCTCTGCAGCAGCAGCAGCAGCCTCGGGCTGCAGGAGCTCGAGTGCTTGTGGCTGGCCCTTGAATCCATGCTGGTCCCTTTTCCTCGGGCTGAGCTGCAAGGAGCGCAGCAGCTGCGGCATTTAGGTCAGTGCTCCGCTTCTCTTGCGTCAGGAAAGCTGTCAGTGCGGCCCCAGCCTCCTGCTCCCCGGGGCTGAGCAGTGAGTCAGGAGATTGTTCCAGTGATAGCACAGAAATGCCTTGTCTCCTGCTGCCTGCCTCTGCTCTCCTAACACGCTGCTCCTGGTTGCGTTTTTAAAAAGCGCTTAGCACTGTATGATTTGCATTGTGAAATGTTGTGTTACTATAACGGGTCCGTTGTAACATCCGTAATCTAATTTTTTGCTGTAGTTATTCCTTTAATTTGTGCAGCAGTGTTGTCAAGGTTGAATTAATGTTTGAGAGTATTTTGTTCTATTGGAGGAAGTTTCTCCTGACTGGAGAAATACTGCAATGAGACTTGTGAAGAATTATGTCACGAGTACCTGTTTTTAAGATTGATGTTGGGGTTTGCTTCATTAGTTTTGATTGTAGTGTAAGTTTTACCTTTTCCCAGGGGTGACTATAGTCTGCCGTTTTGTTTTAGCCTTCCACAAACTTTTGTTTCAAGTGTGTACAGCCTAAGAGATAATGTGGTAAAAGGTGTTTACTTGTGTGTGTTTGTGCTCTGGAAGGATTAAATAGATGTTTTTTCCTGCTTGTTAGCATGGGCTGATTTTGAAAAAGCTCTAGTACTAGATCCCAGTTCTCTGGTAAGTTAGAATTCATAACTCAATACTGTTAAGATTTTTAAAGCCACCTAATGCCTCCACTTTGTCTCCTCCCTCCCACCCCCAACTTTTTTGGTAAATTAACTTATATTTGGGGACAGACATTTTAGCAAGGTCTAGAAAGAAATACTTTACAATGAGGGTGGTGAAAAACTGTCAGTTTGCCAGTGAGGTGATAGATGCTTCATCCATGGAAACATTCAAGGTCATTTTGGTCAGGGCTCTGAGCAACGTGGTCTTGTAGATGTCCATGCTCATTGTGTGAGGTTGGACTAAATGAGCTTTTAAAGGTCCCTTCCAACCCAAAGTATTCTATGATTTCAGGTGTTTTTTATATACCCCTGAGAACCACAGTAGGATTTACTGGTGTCCTTTATCTTTTTTCCTCCCTGACATTCAAGTTGATTAAAGGAAAGCTCCTGCCACAGACAGAATCCAGAACCTGAGTTTTTCCATATGCCCGAGGAACAGAATTTGTGTGTTGGCAAAGAAAAGAAACTGATGTTTTTCATCTCATTTTACCATAGAACTTCATTTCTCCTGAACAAAACAGTCCTATAGTAATAATTACTGCTTGATGCCAACTCCACAGTCACTAGGAATTTATTTGAGTGTTCCAGATGCGGACTGGTAATGACTTTGGGATCTAGCTAGACTGCTGTTTGCTCAAATAGAGTTTCGTCTTGCATGTTGTGTCAATTTGACTAGATTTGGTTGCGATTTAACTAACAGTGCATGAGCACATGGCTCATTTCTTGTTTTATCAATTTCTATCTGCCTTTTGAAACTTTTTGCATAACATAGAAAGAATTAGGAGTGTTTTAAGATACAATTTTTGAAGCTCCTTTGGTTCAGGCAGGTGAATGAACATCCATGTCTGATTTAACTTCCTGAATTGGGGAATCATCCTCTTGTTGCACTCTGTTCAAGCATTATTTGCCAACTTTGTGATTACACAGACACAGTGAAGACTCAGTCTCCCCCCAAACCCCAAGATGAACTCTTGAAATGAGTGTTGTTTAATGCTTGATATATACATATGTGTGTGTATCTATGTATATGTATGTATATATCTATACATATAGATATGGTGCTTTCAAAGAGTAAAAAATCTGTACAAGAAACCATTATCTGGAACATAGTTAAGAATGTTGGGGAAACAATATTCAGGGCATTTATTTGTGTAGAAAATTGTACTTGGGCTGAGAGCATACACTATTCATGTGTGTCTTCTAAAAATATTTTGACATGCAAATTACACACCCGCTGCTCAGTTCTAACCATGTTGTTGCTGCATGATGGTCTCTGAGAAACTGAGAATGGAGTGGGAGCTACCAGCTGAAAACTTTTGCTTTGAAGGTTTTGTTTCTTGGATTTTACTTCTGCTTGACTTTCCTCTTTTTTCCAAAACCTAACATAAGAACATTTCCAAAATGGCACTTTGCAAGTTTAAATTTTAATGTAAGAATAATAAAGTAACTAATTATAGATGTACCTCATTTTCTCTGTTTAATTGCTTAATATATTAATTATGTTCTGTTTTTCAAGTACAGACCACAAGAAAGCCATTGTCTCAGATAATTTGTATATGAAGTCCAGGTGACTGTGATGGTAAACTTTCTTGTATTCCTCAACTATTTTTAAGCCCACAAATTAGTAACAGTACTGATTGTGATATATACACATAGTATCCTTTTGCTATTGCGTTGCAATACTTTAACCAAAGGGAGGGAGATCTTTTCTAAGAGGGAGAGTCTAAAATAAGAGGCCACGGTTTGTTGTTTTTTTTTTGTCAGCTGCTGCCTTTTTCAACCCTTTTTTTTTCTGGAGTAAAAACCTCTTACATTTTTATGACTCATTTTCAAAAGTACAGGGGAAAAAAAAAAGAAGTGCTGCATTTTTTCCCTACTATGGTGCCTGTAGCCTTGACAGAGCAGGAGAAATCTATATATTGCTCTGAGGTAAAGGTAGATTTCTTTTTTCTTCTTGGATCTTATAAGAGTGCCTCTTACTTTGTCATCCTTAACAGGAGTGTGTTTTTTGCCGTGTAGAAAGAGAGAAGCTGAACACTTGACACCTGATGCAGTGCTCTCAGAAATCGCTGCAGAGATTTCCATTTGGGAATTGCAGCTGGCCTTTGAAATAATTTCTTCATTTTCATGCTATTCTTAAAGTTATTTTACTTTCATTTCCTACAGCCTGTAGGCTTCTGACCCCATTCTAGTAGGGAACAATATCCAAGAGTTAACTTAGTATCTCTTGTGTTTTCAGAAGTGAATTATTTTCAGGGATCTTTCTAGTGGGAAAATACCAGTGGTGAAATGTTGTTTCTGAAAACCATGGAAAGCTGATTGCTATGTGATATGATCATAGTGGTTGTGTTGTGCATTTGTGTCCTTAGGAATCTTCCAGTACTTAGGTTATGTTTCTGTGGCATTGTGGTGTTGTATTGCTACTCTTGTGAAAATTGGCGAAAATAGAAAATACAGCTTAATGTTGATGGAAGGATTTGGATAGGACTCAGCATGAAGCAATATAACAACAGTCAAAATTCATGTCTCTGTAGTGGCAAAGATGTTGGCTAGCTTGATGCTAAGGACTTGAAAGTTTGGAGATGCATTGGTTAAAAGACTTACAAAGTAAGGAGGATTCAGCAAGCCAAGGGTTTTGAAATTAAATGAACAAATAGTTAACACTAGCCCAGATGTGATATGCTGGTTTCTGGTTTCATACATTAATTGCTCTTTTAAGCCAGGTTATATTTGACTCTCCTTTGTTTGGCCTTTATACTGTTTTTCTCTTCCTCTGTATGAAAGTCTGGAATTTCTAAGGTGGTTGTAGGTTTAACTGGTTGACTTACAGCAGAATTCCAAGAGGTACTGTCAGTAAGGTTTCATTAATTTTAAGAATAGTGATTTTTCAGCAACAGCTGCTAAAGACAGTGTTGTACTGGGATGGTGTAAAAGGTGTTGTCTCTCTTGTGTGTTTATAAAAGGGAAATTAATACTAAATTATATCTATGCAAGTAAACAATAATTGATATAATGACACTTCCAGAAAGAATCTTAGTTGTTTCATTCTGTTTTCAAAGTAAGCTTAAAGGCTGTTTGTTTTCTTGAATAAAGAAGTGGTAATCAAATATATTAGTTAAAGTTGAACTCTCATGAATCTTGGAAAAAAAAATAAATCTAAGTATCTTAGCTGCAGAACTCAGTTCCTGTGTTAACAGAACAAAGAATATTAAGTAACACACTTGCTGTCCAAGAAATTGGCCAGTTCTTTTTGTACTCCATAATGTGCTTGAAGATATTTTTCATGTATTCCGGTGCTTTCAGAAGGAGGAAGTCTTTTCAAGTAGACTGATTCTAAGTTTGTAAGATGTACTGACAAAGGAAAAAAGAACAATAATCCATTTTGTGAAATTTAAAAGTAAGAGATTATCCATTCTTACTTACTGTGTAAACTTATACGGATGTAGCATTACCTGTCCATTGGAGTCTTCCCCCTCTGGTACTTGAAGCAGTTGAGCTACATGTTATCACCATTATTTTGTGGTTCTTTTCTTATTTAGTCTGGGAGGTTTTTGCTTTCTGCAGTCCCATTTGGGTAAACGTCCTGGGTAAGGATGCTGGTGTTGTTACAGCCACTTTACCCTGTGTGTGAACAGAGACTCCAGCTTCTGGCATCTCTTTCGAGTGAGTGCTGTGCAAATGCAAAGAAAGACTGATGCTTTTTCTGAAGAGTTTCAAATGCCTGTCTTGTCGTCTCTTTCTGGAATTGCCAGGATATTGCATACTTCCCTGATTTTTCACAGAGTTGCTTGAGTCTAAAGAGCTTGTTAAAGTTGGTAGGACTAATTCTGTGTGAGCTTAAAGCCCTTACAAAGTATTTCCTGTTTCTGAATTATCCTGTGGTGGTTTTGTTTAGTTTTTTTAATGTCTGAAAAATTTATTTGTATATGAAGTCATTCCTTAGGTAGGGCTAATGAAAGAAAATAACTTGTCTTTATTAAGGTGTAGGACCCAGATATTTTTGTCACAGTTTTCATTTGCTTCTGGTGCTGAATCATCGCATGATTTTGTTACGCTGGTTGCTGTAAGAATGCAGGTAGTTCTTCACTCTCAAATAGGAGACGTTTTGGGCCTGGAGACCACTACCCTTTTCTAAATAAATTATTTTTTTAAGTCTCCAAACTAATTTTAGAACATTTTTTCTGTACTTCTTGGACCCTGGGTTGACAGGGGGTGTAGGGAGTCGATGAGTGGGATCATGGTGGTAAAAAATGATTACCTTTTTTCCCTCTAGCCTAAAATATCAGTAGTTCAACTTCTAGTTGAAATGAAATATTGCTGAGTTCTGGTTTGCTGATGTAAATTTAGTGCCTCTCTCCTTCTCAAGTGTTGCAACCCACTGGCCTGTTAAGTGTATCTAATTGTATGTCCTCTTCCCTGTCAATCGCTCAACCTTTCTTTGTACTTTAAAATTAGAGATATATTCCAAAGCTGTGGTAGTGTTCAGTACTTAAAGCACCATTCAGTACTGTAAGGCATCATTTCTGCCTTTGCCTTTAGAATAGAAGGGAATGGCTGTAATTGTCCTTTTCAGCCTGACAGTGCTTTTTCCAAATATCAGAAATGTTATTAACTAGGCAGATTGGTAATTTTTATGTAACCTGTGGTGTGCTAATGCAGAAGTTTTGAGGTGTGCTGATGTCATTCTCTGTACGCAATACGCTATAATTGACATAACTCTTTGTTTCTTTCTCTCTCTCTTTTTTTTTTTTTCTTTTTTTTTTTTTTTTTTTTTTTTTTTTTTTTTTTTTTTGGTTGCTTTTCTCCTAGTTAAAGTTTTCACTAAAGTAATTTTGCACCTTGGCCAAAACTCAGAACCAATCATCTGCTTTTTACATGGCAGCAGCACCTGGCAATGTGAACATACCACGGAACATTTCCTTGCAAATTTGTTCTGTCTTCTCTCAGACAGGGTGCCAGGACAGGGACTTGTTACTTTGGTAGTCAGGTATTGACCTTCCTTTCTAAACTACTATGCCAGATGCCACACTTCTAAGAAGGGTTGCAAACATGGAAATGCAGTTAGTTTTGTTGCAAACAACTATTCTAAAGTAATTTTTTTCCTTTTTAAGACACAAAAGCAATAGAGTTTATTGTTAAAGGGGAACTTAAATATTTAGTAGAATCAATTACCTTTATTAATCAGAAAAAATATTGAAGTTTCATAACACAAGTATAAAATAAAGATATCTAAGGTAGGAATTTGCTGGTGAAGATGCTGTGTCAGTTTGTGAATCTGACTGACCTCTTGTTTTTGGCTTTAGAATTGCTGGCTTGATTGTTGTCTCTTGCTGCTTCTTAGCTGCATCTTTGAACCATGTCCCTTTATTTCATGACTTCGTGGTTGATGTGGGTGCACCATCCTGTGAACTAACTTCTGCCACTTAAACACTGGGGAAAATTTCACTCCTTTTGTGGATGTTGTTGGAGCATCCTGTAGTTTAAGTGAGTGAGGTCAAATAGGGACAGGCCCTCTATGCAACCTAGCAAACAACAGAGGCTACTAGTGAATGCTTGGGGAAGTCATGTAAATAATGTCTGGAACTGCAGAATTTAAAAGGTTTTCAGTGTATTTAAAAATACCCCAGAACTCAGTGTTTTGAAATGTCTTTTGAATGGTCCTAAGACCAAAGTTAGCAAAGCTGCTAAAGTAATTTTTTTTTCTACATATTCTGCTATTTATTTCTTGTTGTTACCACTTAAATAGTGCTTATATTGTTTACAGTAGTGTGCACAGTATTAATATTTTAAGTTACTTACAATAGCAGGTATTAAATGTTCAAATGAAATAATTATTTAGAAGATTAACTTTTTTTATTTGGCAGAGTTCATGTATTGTCACACAGCATAGATAAACTGTCACTATAAATCATGCTTCAGAACAGAGGATATGACTGAATTAATATAAGACAAATTTATTTTGTAATCCAGCTTGGGTAATCATGTTTTTATAAAACATTTCAACTTTTTTTTATTATTACTTGTGGATTGTTTTAGTGAGTGTTTAACTTTTTTTTTTTTTTTTTTTTTTTTTTTTTGTAATTAGCAATACTGTACCATATTTCATGCATGAAATAAAGGTGTAAACTTAGGCACAAATCCAAAATGGAGGTCCTTATCAGAGCAAAACTGGAGGAACAAAACAAAATGTCAGTACTATAGCAGAGGTTCCCAAACTTACTCTGCTGAAGTTTGCTCACTGACCTTGATATCTAAAGGACTGTTGGTGCCAATGGTGTTAATTTCTATTTATAGGTGTTTTTATTTTTTTTATATTACTTTTATAGGTATCTCTCAGCAGGACCTCTATCCCACATTCATCAACCTGTGAACCACCTGAAACCAGGACCCAGCCCTGTGCTTAGGGGTTCATCAGCCCCTACTTCACTCCATCCTTTTGTCATCCATCAAAATCTACCCCTGTACAGCAGGCCCCCCTGGAAAGCTGCTCTCATCACAGTACCTGATTAGAAGACATTTGAAGTGAAATGCAAGTGTGGGACTGGTTCTGAGTGCAGCTGGAAGTGCTGTGATGTTCCATGCTTAGGAATAACGTGTGGCCAGTGACTGGTCCCACAAACCCTTCTGCAGATAAGTAATCCTATCAAAGGCAGTTGAGTGCATTTGATTAAGGATTACATGCGATTAGTGGGCTGCAAGGTTGAGAGTACAACTCGTATCATTAATGAGTATTCACATATAAATGCTGCTTTGAGCAGAGATTGAACTAGATGACTTCAGAGGCCTGTTCCTACTAGAATGATTTTTTGATTATCACACTTGTATTATGCAAATAGATAACTTCCTTTATAAAAAAATTCATTAGTTGCATAAGCTGAACTCTAGTAAGTCACTGCCATTATTTTACCTAATTGCATCGTGTAGTAGCGTGGAGTTGCAAATTTGACCCAAGTTTAAGATTAAAAACAATAAGAGGAATACACCCCTGCCTTTTTTGTGTATTGCCTCAAATTCTTTGTATACAGTTTTATGTCAGATTGAATTCCTTGTGCAGAAATTCTTTCCTAGCATACGGTTGACTTTTTCTAGAATTAGTCCAGAGTAGAGTGCCTGAAAATTGATGCTTTATGCACAATTGAGGTGCGTGAATGGATTTAAACTTACTCTGCCTAATTCTTGTACCACTAGTACTGAGATTATGGTAACAAAGGCATCAGTGCAGGTTAGCAGCCTAAGAAGGGCTTGAGGCCCTAAAAACTTTCCAAAGCAAGGGCTCAGAATGTGAGAGGGCATTCTTATATTGAAAAAAAAATCCCAAACCCACTGCCACCCCAACAAATCCCCCCACTGTTAGAATATACTATGTAGAATCTGAATATATGTAGATGTTGAGACACAGCTGGTTGAGTTTAATAAACAATAATCCTTCTTATGTGCAGGGAATCATATGGATTCCTGTGCCTGTATAAACTTTCTACCCATTGATACTTCTGTAACTGTTCTCATTTAGTATTGTTAATTGCTTCCTTTTAAGCAAGAAGTTGGTGGTAAGAAAGGAAATCTCTTAACTGCTGTCTGTAAAAGGCCAATCACTTTCACTTGCATGCAATTAGAAATGTTTTTATGTAACATTTTAAGCCTCCCAATAGTTACATTAATCTCAGAAACAGGCTATAGTTGTTGTCCTGTCTTATTGGTGACAGTATATTTCAGGAAAACACTTGGTTGTATGCTTTTATTTAAAAATACAAGGAGTATGGTAGCATTGCAAGTAATGTGTTAAGGACCTGGCAGGTCTCTTGGGCTTTTAGGGAGTTTAGAAAGCAATTAAAAGGAATAAGAGGTGCTAGGAAGGAGTGGAGTTATTTCTTTATGCTGCTCTTCACCACAGTGATGTTGTGAGCATTTTATTCTTTTCAAATAATGTTGATTGGATGTTATCTGATTATGGGATTAGAGTGGCAAAAGACTGAATGCTAGAATGAAGTGCTAAAGACTCCTAAGTCACCAGGACTCGGTGCTATTCATTCCTTTAGTGGTTGTAAAGGATGAAGTGGCTGATCTGCTAAGAAGAATGCATCTCGTTAGGATGAGATGCTGTGCCAGGAGACCGGAAGCTGTCAAGGGCTGTACATACTGTACTTCTAAACGGAACACAAAGAGCAGAGCTGGAATTTGCAGACCAAGGACTCTTATTTTAATGCCACTTAAGTAGCTTTGAATTCTGCATGGATAGTCTAGTAGTTCAGTGAGCACAAGATACAACAGCTTTCTATGCAGTTGTATCTTAGAGGTAATGAAAAATACCAGCTGCAGCTGGGGTACCTGTCATGTGTCTCTTGCTTGTGTGTTTGTTCCCTAATAACAAGGGCATAGGCTGCAGTCTGTACTTCACTTTCATCTGTTTGTGGCTTGGTCTTCTATATCTATTTGCCCACTACTTGGATTTTTGAAGTCTCTGAATTCTTATTGAACTATAAATGTCTTTTCAATTTTCCTTTTTGATAAAGTTTGAAATCAGGTAGTGGATTTGAAAGTTATAAAAGGCCAGGCCTAACCTAAGCAGGCATGTTTAACTGCATTAATCTCGTCTGTGTTTAGCAGTCTAAACAATTACTAAGTTGCTCCTGTTATTAGCAGACAAGAGAGGGATGAAGCTATACACTGATACACTCACGCACCCTGTTTAGTTCATCCCACCTTAAACTTGCAGTGTATATGGCCTTTGGCAGGAAATTATATTCCATGCAATTTTTGTGAGGCTCTACAGGTCTTCATTTTTGATGTCATTGTGGGGATGATGACCAGTGATGCAGAGGTGGAGCTGAAAGTTAAAGCAGTTCAGTAGTATGGTATGCTGCTTTCAGTGGCAAAGCTGTGATGTACCTTGTAGTTTACACTCAGGTGACAACAGCAGTTTCCTAAGTACTGACAACTGTAGCTGCAATTGGCTGTGTGGTCTTGTTCCCTCACTTTCCCTCCTGTTGCATTAGCACAGTGATTTGTGCCATCATGCAGTGACTTGAATCAGAAAATTGATCCTGACTTCGAGAGGGGTCTGTGGCAAGCAGCAATTTCTAACCCAAGCTAGTTCCTCACTCTGGTCTAGTGGGAGGCTCCACCAGGAGATGGGATCATGGCATAAGGATGAGAACAAGCAGCAGGAGGGTCCTCTCTCTTTGAACTGGCATTTTACCAAATATATGCTCATCAGATTATGTCTCTAGAATCTGTGACTCATCTTGCCCTCAAGTAAGCATCTCCAGTGAAATACTGAATACATTCTGTAAAATCAGAGAAAGTTGTGAGAAACTTGAAGGCAGCCTTCTAAAGCTGTCTGTATTAGTACGATGGTAGTAGATGATATTTGGTGGTTTTAGTTACAAAATAATTTATGCTGGAGGGAGTAACTTGAGCTACTTGAAGATTCTGTAATACAAGCAAATATTCTGCAAAATATATGTATCGTTATAGATAGCCAGGTGAAAGCCTCTTTGAAGAGAAGAAATATATAATGTATGACAAACATCCCTAAAATGCATGGCAATGGTGCTCTGCAGTAGCATTAAATGGAAGTTCCTTATTTGGGCATCTCTGCTTAGATGAACTGTCTGGTTTAATGAATTCATTTATACTTTATCAATCACTGCATATACATATCCTTTATGTATTTTAAATGATATTGTTAAGTAACAAGTTCTTGAAAACTAAGTAAAGTATTTTTAGTAACTTTAGACCAAATAAAGTTGCTGTATTTCTTGCTTTCAGTTCAATTACTTCAGATGATCTGTAAATTTTCAATAATGGCAATACATTCATTCTGCCATTTGGAGGAGCCTGTGCCACAGAATAATGATCTGAAGAAAGCTCACTCATTTGCAAGGAAGAGTCTTCATTTGGGAATTAGCACTGATGCAGCGAAGGGTGCTTCTTCAAGTCCAGGTACATTTTCTTTAATTATACTTGGGTTTGGTATGCTGGCATTTCATTTACATTAGCATATATGCTGTGTCCTGTCAGAGCCTTTGTGTTGGTCATTTGACACATGAAGTATGTTGAAATTAAAAGGCACATGTAGGAGCACAGATACTTATGAGGTGTGTGGAGGGAAATAGTCTGAAAAATAATTCTGGCACCATTTATTATCTTGAGAGTAGCTGTAAATGGGGGTTATGGTCTTAATGATGCAATTCCCTTTTGCTGCATGCTTTTTTCAGACTTTTTGTATGTGTTTATTATATAAATTCAGTATTTTGCTAAGACTGAGTTGTTGCTTTTGATCAAAATGTTATTAAGTCTCAAGTCATTCAGAGGCAGTAAAAAGGAAGGCACAGTTAGGTTTCCACAACTTGGAAAATTTCTACTTTAAAAAAGTCAGCTTTGGAATTTTTAAAAATTTATTTTAATTTTAGTTTTTAAAGTATGTTATCAAATCTTGGCATTGTAACAGCTGACCAGGATTTAATTTTAGACTAATGGTTTCTGTATGTTGTGTTTATTTTTTTTTTCAAGACATCCAATTATTTTTATAACTTAATCATGACTTCACAGCACAAGTTGTTTTCTAGTAATATTCTGTATGGGAGCTATATGCAATGTACAGTCAATAAGAACTATTGGCAGTAAATTAATAAAATAATTGTGAATATTTAAACAGGCACTTGAATTTCTTGTGTTCTCTTTGCAAACTGCGGGGATTCTTTAACTGGCGATGGGTTTAGTGTTCCAACCAGCAGACGAATAAATGATAGTTTGGGAAAAAACCCAACAGCCAAATGCTTCTTATCAGGTAGAGTACAGTTTGTCAGCCATTTCAGTGGTGCACAAATCAAGAATCCTTTAATGATATCTGTATCTGTCTACTCTGTTAGTTAAATTACTCGTTTGGTTAGTTAAATTAGATTTATTAGTAAAATTTCTGGATCATTTGCATCTTTCTAGATGCATCTGTAATCTGGGAAGCCTTAACAGTATCATTTGTTATGCTAAAAATCCTGCAGAATTAAATGAATTTCAAATTTCTTAGGTATATTACTGTGGTATCTTTTGGATCTGGAAACAGAGGCTCCTGTTCTGTGTGTTTTCATGCACGTTTGACTTCCTGTCAGTGCCTTCCTGGTAGAGAACTGATGCTGAGAACTTTCGTGATGTAGAAAGAGCATTGCTTTTTTTTAAGTGTAAGCCTTTAGTTTAGTCCCCTCATTCTTGTAGGAATCATGAAGATGTTGTTTTAAATAAATGCTTTATAATGTAATGGATAATTAGAGGTCAGAAAAGAGTTTAAAATAGCTTTTGAACTGTTAGTGTACTCCAAACAGGAACAGCAGTAGTGAAAAGGAGGCTGTTGCTTCAGTGTACTTCTAAAAATTGAAATGCCTGTCAACAAAATCATCACAAACCAGAATTATCTGGTCCTATTTTGCAGTGTGAATGCTATGAATAGTGTTCACTAGATACAATTTTGAATTCTTGGGGTTTTTTTTAATGATGCAGAATTATAAAAACTGAGGGCTTTGGTGTATCCAAATTTATTTTTAATGTAATTGAAGGACAATATTTATTAAGCTTATTAGGTCCTGCTGGTGAGAATCTATTCTGGCTGTACATGAAGTCAAACTTTAATGGAACACAGTTCCATTGAACCCAAAGTAGGACAAGAGTAAAACAGAAACAAAGTTCAGCATTATTCATAAAAATGCTTATGGTGTCTATAATATGGATATTGAGAGCAGCAAGTGTGGGGTTTTTTTTCAGACTCTTTCAGCAGAACTGTTATTTTCCTCACACAACCTCTGGTGCAAGGATAAAATTGGGTTTTTGTCAAAGAACAGAGTCCTGTATCTAAACAGTGAGAAGGTAAGGTATTTGAGATTATATCATTTCAGCAAGCAGTTAAGAGTAATTTTGGTTATATGTTACTTTGCAGAGAAGCATACAAAAATACTTGATTCATAATGCATCAAGAGGTCTCAAACATTTTATATCAGTTCCTTTTTGCTGGCTGGGGTTTTTTTCCCTCTTTTTATCTCATGGGTGGAATTTCTGAAAGCATTCAGCTCTGCTTTCTAAAAGTGTTTTCTGTGAAATCAATGACTTGACCTGAGTGGGAATGAAGGTTGGTTTATCTTTGGTGAGTCAAAGTTAAGTTGTCAATAACTGATGTTGAAATACCGTCCTTCAAATGCTAGGTCCTTGACATTCAGTGGGATGAGAATCTCAGAACTGACTACTGGGAACTCCCAAGCTGCAGATCAGGTAAATAACTTCTTTGGAGGAGGAAATTGCAGGGGCTTCTTTTTAAAATTATGATAATTAAGTAGCAAAGTGTGCAACTTAAACTATAAATATTTCTCACTTAACATTTAATTTAAAATAGACATGTCTATATTTGTGAGAGGATTTGTTAGTTGCAGTTTGAGCCTTACGTAATTATCTAGTATTCCAACAGTACTGTTTCTAAAGAGGACTTGTGTACTGGCAGAGAACATGAATGTCTAGTTCTAATCCCATTTTCCTACATGAACCTGTGTGTAGTTCAACTACTACAGTAGTAGGTCCAACTACTGTGGTTTCCATTTTTCAAAGACAGAGCTTTTGATATTGAATGTATAATTTAGAACTAAGAGCTTCCATATTAGAGTAAGTGACAGGGGCTCTGTTCAGGTCATGGGATTAACTTGGTTTGTTTCCTGCTTCGGCTAGTCCCCACTTTCTCCAAGGACAGGGTAACTCGGTTAGTGTTGTGACAGCTCAGTATGGTTGGTAACAGAGAGCCTTAAAGTGCCCCAGAACTGGTGCTGCTGTACTTTATTTCTGCTCTTGGAAAGTACAGTGGTGCTGCTGCCTCAGTACTGGGGGCAGGAAACTTAGAGAGGGGCGGTGTGCAATGGCAACAGGAGCTGTTATGGCCGTCTCCAGTAGCTTGTCCTACTTCATGATCCAAGGTCCTCTTTTAATCTGCTTTTTGCGGGGGGATGGGGAGGAAAAAGTGAAAAATAGTTCTGTAATTGTTAAAAAAAGCAGTAAATTTTCCTTGTTAAAAAACAAAGTTTTTCTTCTGTCGTAGTGTTTCAAAGAGAAAACATGACAGATTTGGGTATTTGTTTTTAAGACTTAACCAACTTCAACTATAGACTTACTTCCTTGCCATGTTCAAAACCAGAAAGATAATATAAAAGGATCAGTATTTTGAGATCAAGAATAAAAATTGAGAGTATTTTAAGATAAAAGATTACAACAAATCAAAGAAATACATGATTTACCTTTTAAGATATTTAACTTCAATGGACTGTTAACATCAATGAGATATATTTAGGGTTTTCTATGTTCAGTTTATAGGCAATATAGAATGTGAGAGAAACAGCTGCATCTGAAATAGATCATCTGCTTTAAAAAGTAAGCAACTACTCCTTCCAAGCAATTGCTTAAAAAACCTGTTAAAATACAGGTGGCTTTATAGTAGCTTCCTAATTCATTTACGTAAGTAGAAGGGGAATCACATGCTTATTATAACTTGTGTGTTCCTAAGTGGTGAAGAATACAAGGTTTGGGGGTTTTTTCCCTATAGAAATGAGTAATCCCTGTAATTCTTGCCACAGGATATGCTAAATGATTTGGGCGCAAATTCCTGTACCTCTTGAATTCGTAAAGTTATAGAAAATCTGAGCAACAGTTATTTAAGGTTCTTTATAATTTAAAAAAAATGGTGTAGCACACAGCACATTCAATCTTAGAGAAGTGACGTATTTTAAGAGACAGTTCATTCCACTTTTGGTAAGTTTGTGCCATTAGCACTTTGAAATACAAGTATCTGAGCAATACATAAGCTGTGCATGTACCTCTCTCTGTAGGTAACCCATTGATATATTAGTTTTATGGAATATCTTTGTTCCGCTGTTCTTTGGAACACTGTTAGCTTCCTGCCTGCTCAGAAGGACGTATCTTAACTTGTTCTTGGGATTTGTGTTCCAAGAATGTCTGAGAGGGCTCATGTGGGAGCTGATGTGTAGCTTACTTTAGGGCTTAGCAACAATGGCAGGACTGGATACCACCCAATGTGCTACACTGATTTTGGGTCCCAACATCTTGACATTTTTTTGGGCGCAGACCCAGAAATTTGTTATCCTGCTTATGAACATCCAGCTTAAATGGTCTCCTCTTGGATCCCACTCTTTTATTGTTGTCACATTGAACTGGTTGGCTATATTTTTGAAGGAGGAGAGTCTGATTCCTTATCTATAGCAATACAGCTATGGGAGTTTCAGGGTCTTCCAGGAGAGGACATCTCATTCCTGACATGCTCACCAAGAAGAGGTGATGAAGCCTATGTAGTGCTTTGAAGATTAACTTCATTATCATGCTGTGGAATGGTAATTGTGTAGGTTATGGAATACCATCAAAAAGAGCAGTGAAGCTGATTTTTAAGGAGTAGATTTAAGTATTGCATCCTTCAAGATGCTTTCTGTAAGTTAAAAGTATTTTAGATTGATTTTTACAGAATTTCAGAGCATTGAGAAATTATAGTCTCTGTATATAATAGACTACATTTACTGGCAGGTCTTTAAAGTGTTCTGTTAACTATTTGCAATGAGAACTTTTCTAAATAGAGACCTCATGTTTGTTTAACAAGATTTTCTATGTAAGTATGCCCTTCCCATTAATTTATGATAGCATGCTATACAAGAGTTGTAATGTTAAGTTTTATTTTCAACTTTTTTCTTTTTACTGAGGTTCATCAACTAGCAGAGACCCCCTACTTTTCAGCACCTCACTTTTAATACAGATTGATCCCTGAGATGAGAATGTTCATTCTGTTAAATGTCAATATTTTGCTATTTTTTTAATAACTAATAAACCTATCAGTACATGTGCTAGGTTATGGTCACTGCAGTTCATATTCTTAGTGAGGCACATACAGTTCACCTTTGACAGGTAAGTTACAATTGTAGATATTTCATTTTATCCAAAGAATCCTGGGAGCAGAGGTCTTATTTTAGAGGGAGGTGGAGGTAGGGAGACATGCATTTCTCTTGAGTCTGTTTTGGAAGCTGTTGTAAAGAAGAAAATGCATTCTTGTTTTATCAGGTGATGCTGGTGTCCCAACTCAGTTGTCTGGGAGTTACCATTCATAGTGTCCCAAGGGCAACACAGTAGTTAAAACTTTTTTTTTTTAATTTCTTTTGTCCTTTAAAGAACCCTTGGATAAATAACTAAACTTTATTCCTTTAGAAGCAAAACAGTTGTTTTTTATTGTTTGTGTGTTTTTTGTCTTTTTTTTTTTAACAGCACAGCTGGAATTGGCAGACGCTGTTTCAAACAACCAAGTAAAGTGCAGTTAGTGTGGAAGTACTGTTGTGCAGCTGAACTAAAGGAATTTTGCTGGATAACTACTTGCCTGTTATTGTCATTGGCAAGTTGCAGGTAATTTCCAAAGCTGTGGTCTGACAGAGAAGTAATAATTGCTTTTATGTGTATTTTTCAAGCTAAGGTACACACTTTACTTTTACCAGTGTTTTTACAAAGATTCAAAACTACCACAACCTTGTTGCTAAAAAAATATAGATATATAGTTTTAAAAGAAAAGGAGGTATGAAGAGAATAGTGACACCTGAGCAGCACAGAGAAAACTTTTGTCAGATGAACTCCTGACAGAATCTGGCAGAAATTCAAAGTCTGGTTTGTCTCTAGTAATTCCATTAGCATTTCAAAGGTTGGTGATGTTCTGGGAATGACACAGGAGGGATTATTTTTTAAGTTAGGAATTAGTACTCTAGAGTGTTGCCTGTGCTAGGAATGTTGTTGCTGTCTTGCAATAGGTAAATGGACTATATCTGAGACACTCGGTTTTCTATCAGACGTTTCTCTACTTTATCTGTACTGGCATAATTAAAGTATCAGCCACCTTTCCCCGGTGTGAATAGAGCTGTATCAGTGTAAAACTGTATCTATTGGTACCTTATTTCCTCATAGAAGGAAACAACCCAGGAGCACTGGCCCAATTCCAGGAATTGTTTTTAATTATATTGCAGTTGCTATGCCAGTATAAATTATTCCTATTGGAGATCTTGCACCAGATGAAAGTGACTTCAGTGTAGTTTATTTGCCCTTATCCATACAGCCCCATAAAAAATTACACCACTTCAGTTTCACGGGTTTGATTTGCCTTTGTAGGCAGACTTGCTCTTTACACTGACTTATCTCTATTTGTGCTAAAGGATATAAACAATGAGTGTTTTGACAATGAAAATGCATCTTCCGTTCTGATATAAGCCTAATCTATTCAGTTAACGCTAGAACAAGTACAGTTTACTGTGAAGGTTAGAATATTTCCATCTGGCTGTGTGCACCAGAGCCTATAGAGCAGCTGTACCCATCCTGAATCCTAACAACTCTGTTATTCAGCATGAAGTACAATGTTTTATGTACTCTTATCAATTTTCAACTGCTGTTTTATAGAACAGTGTGTTGCCTCACTTTTCTACTATCCAGTATGTGTTACCTAAGAGAGTTAGGAAGGTTGAAGTCAGAATATAAGATATTGGATCACTTGCATGTGCTTGTTCTATACAGATATTGTTGAGTAGATTCAGATAATCTCTGTTTTAGAGCTGCAAGTGCAGGAGAGATCTTTGATCCCATCTTAAGATGGGGGGAGGGGATTGTGATGGAGAAAAGAACTGAAAATAAGTATAAAATAAGTCTAAGTATACTGCTCTGAGCCTGGGAGCAGTAATGAAAGGACCCTGCTAGAGACTAACTCACAGGAACAGAAAGAGTCAAAAGCCCAGGGACCTTTGACCATTCAGAGAACATTCACTAACTTTAATTAGCTGTTCTCTGTCCTGTGCTTACTGATTGTTTCTTCCACCTCTTGCTGTCCATTCTACCTCTTCACTTCTGCTTCGTTCCTGCATACTACATGAGCTTCCTCCCACCCAACGTGCCCTCCTTACCCTGTACCTCCTTCTATGTTGTTTGCAAGCAAAAGCCACCTGCAGAGTAGAACTACTGTTACATTTACTGCAGTCCTGCTGTTTGTGCTGTGTGTGGACTTTTCCCTTGTGCTGTCTTACCTGTTTAGACTTGTTTTTTTTTTTAATGTGGTCAGGGACCTTTTACTGTTCTGTGTATTTGCTCTATCCAGCATAAATGGAATTTCAGTTGTCATAAGTCCTTAGAAGACCTTAAGTATAGTTTAGAATAATGTTCCTTTATCCTGTTCTTTTATAAAAATCATTCATAAGCAAATGACCACCCTTAATGAGATGAAATATAAGAGATTCCATGGGATAAAAAGGAATTTTGCTCTTGCAGTTTTTCTATAGGTGAACCAATGATTTAAAAGTATAATGTTACAGCTGTGGTTATATTAGTGTCCAGCATAATAGGATGAACGTTTCAGAATGAATTTTCTATTTGCTGTGTTTGCATTTTACTTGCAGTGGTTTGCAAATTGCTGGTTTGTTTTCCATGTCTTACAGCTATATAATTTGCTTTCTAGAAACCATCTTGGTAGGTGTGGATTGCTTGTCAGAAATCCGTTCCGAAGCTTGAGTGCAAAGGAAGCAGGGTACTAATGATGAATAAGAATGGATATCTTGAGGATAACAATGGATACAGCATCTTCAAAAGCAGTGGCATTCTGGTAAGAATTTGCATGTAATTTATTAAACACTACGTGATAGTTCTCAGTAAAATTTGTTTGTGTCTCTCTCTGAGGATTTGTCTGATGAAATTTTCTTCTAAAATGTGAAAAGTAGGAGGATTGCTCTATATCATGAAGTATTTTAAATTCTGAAGCATTGCACAACAACTTTACTTAGCATTGAGTTCTTGCATATAAAAATAATGAAAACATCTTTTTAGAAAAGTGAGTTATTTTAGAGAGGGAGTTAGTGGCCATTTATGGCTCACTGTGAGCCTGTTTCTCTGAATATTTGGAATTGAATATTTTTGAACTGTCATTTTAAAAAAACTGCTTTTTTTCACTCAGAGTATAATCTCTCGTGGCATATTTCACCACTACACATGAGAATGTTCTAACAGGCATTGCATCCAGCTTTGCAGGAGATACAAAACAGGTAATTACTGTCAAACTAATCATAGCTGGAAACTTTCAATCCTCATATTGGTTAAAAAAATATGGCAGCATGCTGAGTGACTGATTGGTACTACTTTGTTGGAAGTTTCACACCATTTAAATAATTTACACAATTAGAAAGTGCAAGCAAAAACACCAATGAAAGTTTTACTGTAACTGCAATATAGTACAAGTGATTCCTTTAAATTCAGTATTTGAAATAACTTAGGCCAACAATTCCCTAAGCAAAAATTTTTGTTTTCACCAAAGCCAAGTATATTGTTATCTGTGTAGATAATGACTTCTTGAAATTAACAAAGAATTTATGCCTCTTGTTTGTCCTACTCTTTGAATCCCACTGCTGGTTTATATTGAAGTGGAACTGTTCTGGTGGCAGCTGGCAGTTCTCAAAGCTCCTTGGTAAGGGTATTTTGAGGTGCTGGATGTGCATATGCTCTGTAGTAAAGAGCAGCACAGACACTGCACATTCTTCTGCTGAGCCAGTTTCATAGCTGAGATAGCTGTTCCAGAGTGTGCTACTTCCAGTGGAATCAGGGTTTAGACACACCTCAGGAGCTCTGAATTTTGTCGTGTCCTGCAGAAAGCAGCAGTGGCTCGGGAGCTGATTCACAAGCGGATTAGGCATTAATCGGATAGTCTGTGCTGGTCAGAGGGGTGGTGGTTCATGTCTCAGTGGTTACAGCCTGTCAGAGGCCTTAGCCCTGCTCAGAGGCAAGGATAAGGAGCTCAGACACATCCTTGTGCAGGAACCCATACTTCCCATGGGCACACAGGGAGGGCAGGAAAACAGGGGTGTGTTCTCGTGGGGGTGAGCACCAGCCAGGCTGGCAGAACCCAGCTGCTCTGGACTCCACTGCACGGTAGAGATGTACATCACAGGAGGTACCTAGGGCAGCATTAATTGAAACAGAGCATCCTCACTAAGATACTGGGGGAGGAAGGACAGAGAGTGTCTGGTAGGGTGAGCTCCTGAGAGGTCTGTGGCCACGCTCCAAAGGTCTGATATAAGTGCATAAGTTAGACCTAAAAAGATTAATGTAAGCAGTCTCCTTATTTGAAATTAGATTGGCAAGCAGGTGACTAAGAGTGACTATTTAATATCCCTTTCTCTAACATACAGTTTTTCATTCTTACTTTCAAGTGGGAGGGAGATAAAATCTGGCCTTCAAAGTGCTATGTACTCATTCCAGTGCCAAAATACAAAACACAAATCAGCAACTTAAATTTAGGGGCATACTAGATTCCCTTAACTGCACTTGGACAAATATGCCTGTTAGATATAGGAATGTAAACTTAGGTAGCTACTTTGATGTACTTATAAATGTTTTGGTTTTTTGACTGCTGTGATTTTGTGGGCTAGTGTAGTAAGAAGCTAATGGAGAGGAAGCTAGGCTGCTCTACAACTTTTTTTTTTTTTTTCATTGCCAGGCTAATCTTTCACTGAGGTTCATTGCACATCAAGTGTTTGGTTAATTATTTTATCTTATTTCTATTTTAAACCAATTTTTTGGGCGGGGGAGGGGTGGAGGGAGAGGGGGCTAAGGGAGTGGTGTTAAGTTCTTAGTTTTAAATTCCCTCAGATCCTGAAGGAGGATACCAATGAAGAAAAACCTACTTTGCAATTTCCATATTGTAGAGGTATCTTATCTGTAGTAGTTATAAAAGTCAAGTCTGGAGTGTCTTTTTCTGTTGATCTTTTCTAAGATGACTGTACTGACTTGTATGGTTTCAAATAAAAACAGTAAAGTTATTGACTTGTAAAAGAGTTGACTGTCATTTTCTGCTTAATTCCTCTTTTGCTGAACAATTTCTGTGATATTAAGTGAATTTGTGGCACTTTAGTAGCTGCAGGCCTGAGGGGGAAAATGTTATAGTTCTTTCACAATTCATTGGTTTGTGGATATTTCTGTTATGTTGTTTCCACACTGAATGACTCATATGTTAAATGAACATGCCAGCCCCAAGGCATGCCCTCGCTATTGCAGCCCACAGTGAAACTTGATGCCATTGCACATAAAAATGTGGAAGATGCTCATATCCGTTTGAATCCTTGGGAAGTTTTGTGCACTTCAGACGCGTGTGCTAGCAATTACTCAACGTATGTTCTTTCAAAAAGCTGTGGTTTACCATGTCTGATTGCTCTTTTTCACACTGTTAATTTGCTGAGTTTGTAAGCTACATCTGTCTTGTAAGCCCAAGTTGGAACTGAGAAATAGTAATTTTTAGTTGTTTTTTTTTGTTTCTTTTAACAAGGTGGAACAGTTTCATTGTATTCATTTCTGGACTATTTGATGAGAGGCTACAGAAGTATCTGATTTGCACTGCCACCTGTGTATTTTTTAAAGTATTTTGACAGATTCAGAAATTGTTTTATTTCGGAAGTTGACAGCACAGATCTAATGCTCTTCACGTTGTGAAAACACTAGTGTTAGATTGAACTAGTTGGACCTGATTACCTTAGCTGTCCTTGAATTTGGCTTTCTTACCCACTGGATTTTTTGTTGTTTAATAAGAACATGAAAGACGAAACAGATTTACCTATTGATGAAGTCACAAAAATTATCACATTACAGAAGCTTCACATCAGAATGCTGCTAGGAGCAGGCTCATTGGTATCTGTAGGGAGAGAGGTGTGCACTCACAGCAGTGAGAGGAAAGGCTTTGAAAAGTATATGAAGTAAAACTTTTCTGATACTTTTTGATTCTTTAGGATGTTTGGGCTTTTTTTCTGTGCCATATAGTGGTGGTAACTCTAAGCCTTCATTGATTCATGTAGTGAAAGTATGTGTATGTCTCCAGAATTTTTGTTCTGTGGTTTTGTTTTGTGATTTTGATAGGAGTAAGACAGATTGCTGTGACAGGATAGATAAAACATATCACAAGTCAGGTATTTTGGCTTTTAAATAATGGTCTTGTTCTGTCGTGCATAGTATGTAATGGAGGAGTTTATGCCAAAGCGAACAGATACATCTATGGGAAAGACCACTCTTCAATTTAAATTTTTCACTCAACATTACTTATGGCTGTACATTGGGTGCAACTTTTTCTGTGTCCCTGCTTGTTTTCATGAGGAGGTTGTCACTGCCCATCTAACTCTGCTTTCACTGATGGGAAGCTTGTGTGTCCCATCCCCTGTCAGCTTTGGCAGCAAGACTAGGCACGTTAATGAAAACTATGTGCAAACTGTTAACAACATTGATCGCAATTGCACAGGAAACACTGGAAGGCAATAAAGGCAACTGTTTCAATCCTGTTTGCAGTTCTAGCGCCCCCAGACCAAGTCGTCTCAGGTCACTTAAGGATGTCTCACTAAAATGGTATTACGACATATAAAGTTATAACAAGTCTACTGTTTAATGTTCAAGTGCTGTTGATGTGCAGGCAAGAAGAAGGAGGTAGCAAAGTGAAAATACGTCAGAAATTACTGCTCTGGCCAGCTGATGTGTTTGAAAGAATGGTGTGAAGGTGCAGAGGGTGGTACAGCTGCATTTGCTTTTAATAGACCATAGTAACAACAGCAAGCCAGAAAGTGGATGTGCTGGTGTATTCCACATCTAGAGGTTTAAAAGCTGCCTCGCTGGATTCCTTGCAGTCTTTGGCTTGTCAAGAGCCTTCGTTTGTTTGCCAGGAGAGATTCTGGAGTCGTGCTCATGTCTGCTGCACCATGTACAGTTTTAGTCCTGCTCTCTCACTTTCCCACCTGTTCCAGAGCGTTTTTTCTGTTTCTGTACTGCGTGATGAAGATGAGCAGCTCTCAGGTAAAGCTAAGGGGCTGTGTTTTGACAAACAAATCAGGGTTTCTTACAAGTATAGAAGGAGCACCGATGTCAGGGGCTGGTGGGGTACCGTCCTTTTCCTTTTCCCGTGGAATCCTTCCGTGCTTTTCTCTCGGGGCAGGGGGGAGGTGGTTCCACCCGTGGCGGTGCTCAGCTCTGCCGGTTTCCGGCGCACGGACCGTGTTGCACATGAACGCGTCCGAGTGGCCTCGGGGTGTTCCCCGTGAGATCTGCCCTCGAGCCAGCGCGGCCAGAAATTTCTGCACTGGGATGGTCCGGGCATCGCCCCGGTGCCTTCAGCCCGCCGGGGCGAGAGGCGAGAGGCTGCTGCCCGGGCTCGGCGGCATTAGGACCCGGCGGGTCGAGCCTCCTCTCTGTCCCTCCCTCGGCAGGGCGCAGCCGGCGGCCCGGGGAGCGGCAGCAGCCGGGGCCGGAGGGACCTTTGGACGCCGAGCAGCCGCTCCAGCTGGCTTCATGTCGGGCTTCCTTTGTTCATTTCTAGCAGAAACTTAGCTCTTCCTTCAGTGGTTGTGCAGGGGATTGTGGCGCTTGATCGTCTTCAAAAACGTGCTTTGGCTAATGCTAAAATGCGTCAAATTTAATGGTTACATGATATTCGCACTACAAGACTTTTACAGCAACTACTATGTATCCTGCTGAAGTCTTTGTAGTATCATATTTGAAACAAGACCGTAAGAATAAGAGTTCTAACCATTAAATTAGAATTAGACTGGAGCAGAAGTTGATAGATTATCTGACGCTTGGCTTCTGTAGTGCCTGTCACAAAGTAATGGCTCTCTTAAACTGTACATTAATCATCAACAACAAGTTCAGAAATGTCTGTTTCAGTCCAGAAACTCCTATTACCAAATAAATAGCTTTTGTACTGTTGGAATGAGCAAAGAAGTGTCCTTAACAATAAATTCCTTTACATCTAAATGAAATAAAGTTTACACCCTTTCTCCCATGAATTTAGTTTATTGCTCTTGCCCACCTTCTACTTAAAAGGAAAAAAGCATGGGGCAACTTTGCAGGTAAATGTCCAATGAGGTATATTTCAAGTTATGTACATTCAGAACATACTATCAAGCATATAATAGCTTTAGAAAAGCAAAATGTCACTTTTATTTTAGAAAGTGACAGTATTTGTTAATGGGATGTGTTATTAAAATGATCACAGGTAGAAACTATACAACTGAAAGGTAAACCTGCAAGTTACAGTTCTTGCACTCAAATACACAGCCCATGGAAACTGCAAAACAGAGTAAGTTACCCAAGGAGAATAATTTTTATGTTCTTAGAATCGTGGCGGTGAATGGTCTGCTGCTTTCAGAACACAGATGATGTTGCCTTTTGGGTTCAGAAATTTTATATAGCCTTTCTGCTCCCTGTTGCATTGCTTTTACTCCAATTTTCCTGTCATTGCTGGCAGTAAGGTGTTCTCAGACCCACAGCTGCCCATGGACTGAAATTCTCTTCTCTACCAGAACCAGAGCCTACACTCAAGTGTCACCACATGAAGTTCATGTAGCTTTTTAAATCTCGCAGTTTCTTGTGTCCTAGTACATGCCATATTCTCTCTATCCAGGAAAGAGTTCCCAGGCAATCTTTCCGATTCTTTGTGCTCTGTTATTGATGTATGAGTCTTCGCTTTTACTGTCTCTTGTACTGTGTGATGCTTCTGCCCTGTTTACCTGACCCAGCCCCTGACTAAGCCCAGCCTTGCATTGACAGTGCTGGCATCCTCTCCTGCTCCCCCACCTCCAGACAATATCATGTTCTCTTTACCGTCTCAGATATGATGGAAAAAATCAACCAAAATATATGAAGGCACATCATTATGCTCTCTTTCATTTTTGTCTATCCTAATAAAATTAGACTCTGCTCTTTGATGAAAAATGATAATGTTATATGTTTTATATAGGTTGCAATGTTATGTATGGTTTTGTAATTGCTAATACAACAGGGCAGTGTGGGGTCTCAGTATGTGCAGTGACAATGTGCATTTCAAACTAAACCAGGATGATCTTATCAAGATAACCAAGCAGTATAGTTGTGGCATGCTAAGGGCTCAGTGCTTAAGCTAATTCTAGCTGGCTTGTCTGTGGGTGAGTGGTAAGTAGTCAGTTTTTGGGTGCTTGTTAGCAAGATTTGTGATGAGAATCCTTGTTAAAATAATCTTTTAAAAAAGTGATAAAGGGAACACTTCAATATCAGGTCTTTGAAAAATAGACAAGCTTCTAGGAAACTGGCTATGATTGGAAATGAGGAAAAAAGATATTTTAGATAGAACCTGCAGTGATGGAGTAAACAAGTTCATAATCATGCAGTTTTTACTTTTTCGTGTACTTGACTTTACTGCTCACATAAAAGCTCAATGTGTCCAAACTTTAGTTGTTTCAAAACCTTCTAAAGCCAACTACTGTTGTTAATTAGATTATTAATAGTATTTAATGCAAACTGTAGAATGAGTTGCTGTGAGATTGTGAATAAAATTTCAATAATGAAATCAAGTTGCTATTCCTTTTTTTAATTTATATTTTTACAAAGGCATTATCTTATTTGCTTAAACCATAATACAGTTTCCCATTTGACTGGTAAAATACCTCCTAATGCTTCAGTTGATGTTTACTACGAGTAAGTTGCTTCCTGATTTCTCTGTGTAGTAACTGGTTTAATTTATACTGTCGTTGATAGGGATATTGTGTTTAGATTAATAACTGAATTTTCATGATAATCAATATGAATGGATTATATATGATGTGAAAAAAAAACATTTCTTCTGCTCAGTTTTGAATTTTCCACATTTTCAGTCCTTTGTATTTTTCTTGTGTTGTAAGATAGAAAGCATACAAATGTCTGATCTGACCTCTCTAGAGCAATTGCTTTACATGTTCATGCATAATATTCCTGATTTGAAACTTTCTAATTTCTCTTCATATGATATTTTCTATGTTTAGTACTGTTCACACTTGAACCGTGTCTATATTTTTAGTATCCTTTTGGAGGAAGAGTGACCTGTACCTCACATGGGATTTTTTTTTTCTGGTAAGGTCACAGCATTGATCTTTATAATCCTATTACACTGGTTTTCCTCTAATTGTCTTGCATTGTTTAAGCTGCCTGGGTTTTTTTTTTTTTGTAGTGGTGTGTTGAGCAGAGATTTTTCACTAAACTGCTGAAGTGGGCCCTGGTTCCTTCCTGAGGCTAAAACAACTGGTGTGTTTTCCCATTATGGGATAACTGATGTAATGATTGACTTCCATTAAACAGATGCAATCCTACCACCCCCTTGCACCTGACACTGGCATGTAGTGATAGGACAAGGGTTAATGGCTTCAAACTGAAAGGAGAAAGAGTTAGATTAGATGTTAGGAAGCAATTCTTCACTGTGGTGAGGTACTGGAATAAATAAGAGAAGCTGTGCATGCCCCATCCCTGGAGGTGTTCAAGGCCAGGTTGGATGGGTTTGAGCACCTGGTCCAGTGAAAGATCTTCTTACCCATGGCAGGGAGTGCTGGAACTAGATGATCTTTAAGGTCCCCTCCAAACCAAACCATTTTATAATTGTATGACTTGTCTAATTGATATTGATAATTAAAACAACTCCTGAAATGGGGTGAGGACTTTATAGCTGATGGCCCTTTTATTTTTCATGGAAGTTATCTTGGCCAGACCTTTAAACAGACCTTTAAAGTGTCAGTGTTTGTGAGTAAGTGAATGTAAGACTGTGAGTAAATTAAATCTATGTGAGACTAAATGTTAGTGACTAACATCAATTTATCTGGAGATTTTGTAGGTAACTGTTACCCTCCCTTTGCCTAACACATTGAGTTTTATTACACTAAGTTCCTTACAGTTCTGTCTTTAATTTGAAATCTCATAAAACACACTGGTTTTTTTAAATGGGTTTATTTTAATATGTGTCTTTATCTGCCTACCATAACTTAAACTTTATTTAGTGTTTCTGGGGTCCACTTACTAATTTTGGTTAGATTAATAATTTTCCTTCATTCAGAGTAACTGAAGTAACTGCAGATTTTCTGCCATGACACTTGCCCCAGTTTCTGAATTATTGACAACTGCACCTGACCAAATACGTCCCTTTCAGCATTTTGCGGTTAATTCTTTGCTATTAAGGACATTTATTATCATGAAATCAAATAATTTAATTCAATATTTTCCCTGGTTAGATTTTGATCAGATTTTTATCTATGACTGACTGTGTCCTCATTTTTTGTTTGATTCCTTCAGGAGGCATTTTTCTCTTTGGGCTTTGGAAGAACTTGTTTTCTGTTATCTGGAGCAAGAACTAGATTACCACCAGTAGCAGTTGTTCTATTCTATTTTCTCTTTTACATGGTGCCTCGTGTGACTTTTGATTATTGTTTATGCAGCCCATTCCAATATCGAATTACCCTTTATATGACTAAATTCTTCTTGATATCCTAGTTCTTCCTAATATTCTTATTTTCCCTTCTCGGCTGCTTCAGCTATGTTGATTTGTCTTGAGGATTTGCCCATGATTCACAATGGGGAGAAAAAAGCTGGTGCCAGCCATGAACACATTCCAGGTCTTTATTATAGGACTGAGGAATTTAGTAAATACCAGAGTTGAAGCTGGTGTACAGAGCTGTGCATCATCCACCAGGCATATGTGTGTAATGCTATGATAATTGCATGATCAGGATGTGTATGATGAAATGCTGTATAGCATTGTAAGACTGTTTTTGTATGATTGTGAAATAGTTAGTTCCTATGATGCTTTGCATCACACAGACATGTGCTGGAAAGGATGTCTGCAATTTTAAATTTTAGCAGTGAAAATATAATACAGTTGAAAGTAGAAAAATATACACAGAGGACAAGGGAAATGCTAGTAGTCAGGGAACATTCATACTTTAGGGATCCAACTCCTGTAACTAAATCAAAAGACTGATTTCCTTAGGCCATTTCCATGCAGAGACTCCTGCACAGGACATTTTGCAGTGTTTCAGGAGTTCCTTCAACCAAATCTCTCCCAAGGAGCCTCTCTCTATTTACTGTAGGGTAGGATCTGTCTCCTACATCCCACTCTTGCTTACTTTTGACATTTGAAAACAGGTGATGTGTATATAACTACTTACCACACATTTTGCTCATAGGGGCTGTAGGGGCACGTTAGTAAGCTGAATTTCAGAGAAAGCTTTGAACAACAGTAATGCAGTATGTTTTCAGATATTTAAGGGAGTTTCCATAAAGTGTAAGGTGTAAGACAGAAAAAGGCACAAGAAGTTTGTTTGAAAATACACCATATGGGTATGAGAGGAGCTGGAAACTGGACTCCTGACACTGAATGGCAGGTGGGAGATGGAAGGGAAGAGATACAAGATGCATCCCTTAAATTTATTTTTGTATCAGTAAAAAGTGGAGGGTTTTTAAAGTGTTTTAGCCAAAAACAACATAACAATTAAATTAAACAGTATGATCTCATGGTCTTTTGAGCTTTATGTTTTATGAAAATTGGCCTGGTTTCAAACATGAGCAAACCACAGCTGTCTTCCTGACAAAGATTGAGGAGTAATAGGTGTGGTGGTGATGAGCAAGGATGGACCTTAAAAGTGAAGTGGTAGATGCTGCAGAAGTAGCCAGGGAGAGCTGTGGAGATAGTGAGGTGTTCTCCAAGTGACTGACTAGGAAAAGGGTCTTTGCAGCAGTTCTCTGAGTGAATGTGTGTGATATTAGGCTGTGTTTGTCAAAAGCAAAGAGAAAAAATGTTGCTGAATCAAAAAGCAGAGAGCAAAATCTTGCTGAATCAAAACATGATGATGATGATTAACCTGATTGAATACTTTAGCTGATTGGGAGGATTAAGAAAAATACCATCTTGGAAATGTTGCGTTGAAAGTATCTGCAAATTATGAATTTGAATCTTGGGATTTGGAGTGTCTTTGGGAGGTAAGGTGATGCTAGAGTTACATGTCTGAGCAATAGGCAGGATGATGCTGTAGCTGTGCAGCTTTGTGTGTGTCACCAACAGTTAAATCATTCATAGAAAAAATTGTAAAGATCTGCCCTCAAGTATAATTGTATTATTTAGTATTTGACATTCTTCACTCCTACAACTGCTTCCCACATAATATTGCTTAGAATATTTCCCCACCTGCCACAAAGGACTGGACATTAATTGTTGAGTTTCATTTGTAATGTCACAGTGGGATACCTAGTATGAAAAGATGTTTTGCATTTGCTGGAAAGGCACTGATCTTTTCATTTGGTTTGTAGTAATGGTGAACACAGATGCAGTAATTTCCTTACAATTAAATTATGAAGTCAAGTCTTCTAATAACAATACTCCATAGTATTTCAGTAATAATTAATTGATTCTGTTCCTTATTCTGATTCTGCCTAATGATACAAGAATTCCCCCAGGAGAGGAAGCTTTCAGTTTGCTTGAGAATTTTATAGCCAGGTCCCGTACCAGCCACAGTCATTTTTTCCTTCCCCCTTCAGCCTGTACTGGAACTCACAGGTAGAGAAAGGACAGAGGACATCCATCTGCTCTTGGCTAACTTTTCCAGTGGTGTGTAGTTGTATGGACATGGTAGCAAACAGGTGTGAGTTAGAATTGTTTCCAGGCTTTTCTCACTTAAACCGGAGAAGAGGCAGCTTTAGTATCAAGGAGGCATAACCTGAAGAAAAAATGTGAACAGCTTTTTTGTTGTTTTTCAATAAATTTCTGCCAGGTGTGGAAATCAAAACTGTTAATGTTATGTTTGCAAGAGCAAGAAGAAAGGTTGTCTTAGGTGTTGAGTAGTTAGGTATCCAGATGAAAAAGATAAAGCTTCAGGAAAAGAAATTAAAACGTGCCTTTCTTTGGAAATGTAACTCTGGCAAAGAATTTGATATTAATGGCCTATCAATAGTTTTAGGTTGTTCAAAGAAAGAGCAGTGATAGCCATATAAGGCAATAAATTTCCCTCTGCTTGCTAAAAATTTGTGAAATCATAAATTCATTGAGCAAATATACCCCATGGGCATACTGGGTCCTGGGGCTGGGACCTCTCCCTGCACACGGCTGAGCCCTGCCGGCTGCATCTTCCCCCCAAGTCCCTGTGTGCCTACAGAGTAACCCCAGGTTTGAGGTGTAACTCTCTGGGGATAAAATAACCAAAATCTGACACTATACTTGAAGTCCAGTGTTGTAGATTCTTTACCATGTACCAGTTCAAGACATACATGTGGGATATAACTGGGAATTCAGTATTAAAATGGGAGAAAAGATTTTGTTATCTGTCCTGAGCTAACACCAATTCTAAAAAGACAAACATATTTCCTTTTTTCACAAATTTTGGAAATCTCATCTGCCTTGCATATGTGTATAAAAATGTCTAAGTCAGTGTGTCATCTTGGCAAAAAAGGCTTCTTAATGTCCATGTGCAAGAAAAACTTTGTATATACTACTATTTTTCATATCTAGAAATAATAGCAGTTTGAGTCCTTATCTCTCCTGAGTGCTATAGGCAAATCAATGTCTCAGTGAATTTAAGATGTTCATGTCCTCATGTATCTTGAGTTTTTAAACTTACTATTTTTTTTATGTAAAGGATCTTGCTGCATCTTAAGCCGTCCTGTAGGAGATACAAAAGTAATCAGAGATTGTTGATTGTCTTAAACATTTTTGGGAAGAAGATGTATTTAAATTGATTTGTCTGGTTACATGCTGATCTCTGAAGGTATAACTCTGCCCTAGTAATAGGAAGAATGGTATCATACTCCTGGACAATCCATCCTGTCTTTGGTCTGGCTGTCTCAGAGAGGTCATGCTAGTGCAGGAACAAGGTGCAGTGATGACATTTACAGGCATGGCGAATTGGCCATTGTGGCCTCCCGAGCTGAGAGACAGCCTCAGGTAGGGAGGAAGCATGGACCCCTTCCTGGGGTGGATGAGAAGTGCTGGCGTGGAAGTGTGGATGACACAGCTCCCCACAGTGTAGCCTGTGATTCCATGTGCTTGTGCCACCATAAATCTGATATTCCTGTGGTGTATTCACTGCTTCTGTCACACTCTCCTGTTGTGTTAAAGTCTGTATTTCAGTGGGCAAACCTCATTATGAGGTAGGCATTTTTTTGCTAGTCTCTTTTCTCATTAGCAGTTATATGATACTAGGTGCATGCTACCTTGGGGTTTTACTGGAACCTTGGGGAGATACACTGCCAAGCTAGAACTTCTCACAACCTTCAGACAGTCATAGCAATGATAGTTCTTATAGAAATATTATTTACTTTCTGTCAGTTGTACAGTGTTTTAAAATACAAGCAGATTATCTCATTTTGGTTTTCGCCATGGTGTTACTAAGAGGCTGGAAATCTCCATGTAGAGCTGATGAAGATAAATACATCACCTTTATTGATTTTAGACCACTCTCTTTTATTAAAAATAATAAAACAAATTACATATAGCAACAAAAAAGCAGCAGCACACAGGAGGTGAGCAAACACACTGCAGGTACTTGTGTTTGCCTGAAGGGGAATGCACTGTGATCAATTAATGCTTTATAAATTTCATGGCATAAGAAATTACTGTTGCCTTTGCTGTAGCTGCAGCATTTTAAGGTAAAAATAGAGATCTTGTCATGGTCTAGGCACTCAGATTATTTTTCTGTGATTAGTTTGGTGTCTCTTTAATTAGAGCTGTGTGCTGTGTTCCCTGATATCATTCTTTTTCTCTTTACATATTTAGGTCCTGGTCCTGCAACTGGATTTGTTCAAATGGACCTCGATAGCCTGGGGACCTGATGAAGTTCATGGGACTCTGGTGACTGCAGGTTCTCACTCTGAAGATCTGATTGTAGGCCTGAACCTAAATTTCTATTTCATTCTCCTGTCTGTTTGCTTCTTAAATGATGAAAATTATCCTTTAAAATGGTGTTGTCGTTGAGTCTCATGCACATCCACTTTAGTAATGTTCAGACACTGTGTGCCTGGGATGTTGTCAGACGTTGTTAAATTGTTTCTTTTCTGTTGTGTGCCTAAACCTCATGATTGCTCTGATTATTGTGTTAGATTTTCCATTTAGTGCCTTTCTACCTAAAATGGAGGCGATAATTGCCTTCTTTTAGCTCAGATTTTTAAGTCAGAGTAACTGGTGAAACTGTTCAGGTTATTTTTAAAGATGTAGGTAGATTTGTTTATTTCTTGCTGGACACAAAGTATAATATTTTAATTTGCAAACTTGGTAGCCTATTATTACTGAAAGCTTTCAATATGATGATACTCTGATGTAATAAAATGAGTAGGAAATGACCCTTCTACTAGTGTTCCTGTTGCTTTTCCATTCCTGTGGCTGTGGTTGCACAACATACAACTGAGAGTGAAGATATTTTTTTTTTTTGTGAGCCAGTGTATGCCTTTTTTTGACAATAAGTGCTGTTCCCTGTCCTATTCCATATTGCAGTTTCACTGAATAGTGAAGTTATAGCCCTGGTAGAAGCTGTAGGAAGGACTTTGAAAAATCACATGTAGAGTGTGACCATAAATAGAGTGTGAGAGGAAAAACAGATGTGTTCTATCTCTATACATGTTAGTATTTATGTTTTATATATTTTCAAAGCAAGTATGTAGCAGTGTACCATAATTAAGAGATTAAAAGATCCAAAGCATCCTTTCTATACAGACAAACAGAAAAACTTTTTTGGTTTATGTAGGCTTATTACAATGATATTAAGGAGCTTCACAGTATTTGATGAATTTTTGCATATTCGCTGAACAGAAAAGAACCATTGTCCTGCTAGACCAAGGAGAAAACTGAGCCGCTTTTTTAGTCAGTAGTAAAGTCAATGATATTAAATGGATTCTCCTGCCTTTTAACCTTGTGCCTCCAGCTCCATTTTTCCCTCAAGACCCAAACCTTCCCTTAGCATCATCTGCTTTGCATTTCTACATGAAAGGCCCCAGGTGTTTCTGTTTGGACTCCCAGAAAATGAGGAAGAGGAGGTTGGTTGGCCATCTGCCAGGGTGCGAGGTCTGCCTCGCCCCTTGCTCACGGTTGCTGCTGGTGAAGGCAGAGGCAGAACTGAGTGTTCTGTGTGGCATTCAACTGCCTTAACCACATGCCCATCGCTCTCTTCCTGTAGTTGTCTGTCTTGTTCTCAGCAGAACTCCTAAAGACAACATGAATACCAACCAATAAATAATCTAATTTGATGCACAGCCCTGGTTCACTTCCTGAGCCGTGTTCTGCACACACGGAGCGGCCGCAGTCCTGTGGAAAAATTCAGCACAGCGCACGAGGCCAAAGAGTAAGGCTGTTAAGTGTCTTTAAACTTTGCAATGAAACAGTGTTCTTTTAATGTCACTTATTATAGCCATAGCTCAAAGTATTTTTAACAAGAAACAAGAGGAAAATGAAAGCTTTTAGAACTGGTTGTAACCAATTCTCTGTCTAGCCTGTGAACGTGAATATCCAGCTCGGTGAAACACAGAACATCAGCCAGGGAGTAAGGGAAGGAAGAAGGATGGGTGCTTAACACCATGGCTATATCCAATTTGCTTCCAAGTCCCAGGGACTATTTGTGGAGTATTGACCTCAGCTCTTCAGCTTTTGTTTTCCCTTCAGCATTCCCACACCCAAAAATTAGCCCCTCCAGAGCTTCTCAGTGCAAGAGACATTGGGGGGGTGTTGCTGTAGTTTGGTAATCATTTAAATGAAGAAACAGAAATCAAAGGTGGTCTTTTCTCCTAAGTTTTCACATTGAAAAATAAGAGGAGATGCTCCCAGTTCTCTCCACAATGAATTTCAGGGGCTATCCTTCTGATCCTTGATTTCACAAATAGATGGCAAAAACTTTAATAATAGAAAATTTGCTCTTGGCTTACCCCTTTAATCTTCTTCACAGTCAAATTGTAGTGGCCTACTGTGTTTGTAAGCTACCAAAGATGGTGTGTAGGCTCCAGTGCCAGAGCAATTGTGCTGAGAACACAAGCTCATCTTGTTATCTTTTATGGTAGAATTTGGTAGCATAATAATTTTTTTTTCAGAGAAACCTTGCCAGACCTTGGTCTGAGTTTCAGTTTTTGTTAATGTCTGCTTTATCTATGGGTAGTGCTTGAGATTTGGTCACCAAGCCTAGTGATTTGCTATGAGGAAAACAAAACAATCTCATACTTTGCTTTTGCTTGTTTTTCTCTGGGATATACAGTCTTTTCTTGCAAGTAATGCAGCAAATTCCTGTTAAAAGAGCTGGTGGGAATACTGTTAGGAAAAATTTGTTCAACCCATTCACTGAAATTTGTAAAAATCAAAATACTTGCAAAAGTATTCACTGGCATTTTGTTGCAAAATAAAAATGAAAACCCTGATTTTAGTACTGATTTTTTTTTTTTTTAAATAAGGATCAGTTTTCAACATTTCATAGCTGTAGAGAAATGGTGGGAATGGGACAAAACAGGCTTGATACGTAGAATCACCATAAGTCTGTATCTCAACTCAACACTTTGTATCATGAAAGCATGGCCTGGAACTGCTGCCTGTCATATCAGATATTATTATCATTGATTTATTATGTTACTTCATCTTACCTGCTTTTTGTAATCTTTTGGCAGGGATTCTGTGTTTTGGGTGTCTTCTTTTGGTCTGGGGTTGGGGTTTTTCTACCAGCACCTAACAGAGCCCTGATCCATGATTTTGCTTCCAGGTACTAGGAAAATACAAGTACTAATCATGCCTGCTGCTAAAAATTTTCTACATTATTTCATTTGCATTTGTTTGCTTTCAGCTTCTAGTAGTTGATTCTTGTTATGCCTTCCCTGATGGATTAAAGAGCTCTTTAGGACTCACGATTTTCTCCCCAGGAAGGTGCTTTTACCCTGTGATCAAGTTACTTCTCAATATTATTTTTGTTGTTGTTTTTTTTAAGAAAAAGCTAAACAGATTGTGCTTTTTAGGGTTCTCATTATTTTTTCACGTTCCTAGATGATTTTTGTGGCTCTTTTCTATCCATAAAAATGTGTGTTACTAGTCACATGCACAGGAGTAAAATTGCTCCTCTAGTTCCTCTTCTGTTAGTTTGGTTAGAAATTGATGTTATTGCAAGGTCAGAGAAAAAAAACCCCTACCTAATATGATTTCTGCACACCTGAGTGTAGTTATTAGAGGACAGAAAATGATGGATGACTTCAAAAACATTTAAATATTTTAAAGTGATCCACAAATCAGCAAGAGTGGGTGTGCAGGAGAGATGCCAAAAGTATTTATGTTGAGGTTTTTAAGGAGCTAGCAGTGAAAATAAAAATAATAATTTTAATTGTGAAGCAACAATAATACATCAAAACTTAAGTGCTGTGTTTAGCATAGTAATAGTTGCAGAAATTTTGTAGGATTGAATGAGAAATGTTTAAGTGTTTGTTATTAACACGCTGTTATGGGTCACTGGAAATAGAGACTGTAAGTGGATGTGAATATACATATCCCTTTCATCCATGTAATCCTATAAGTAGCCACTTGCTTATATTTGGAAACCCAAGAACAGTTATGTGATCTGTTATGCTGAAATAGAAGAAATAACATAGTATTAAGAATTCAGTTTTTTATAAAGATTGTCACTATTAAGTCATATAAAAGTTCAAGCAATCAAAATCCAGAGCTTGAAAGAGGCTCTTGAAAGTTTTACTGCTTCAGTATTTCTTTCTAAAGGGAGTGGCTATTTATTTTGATTTGCATCCATACTTTAGGACAAAGTTAAGTTAAATTTACACAAATGAGACTAATCAGATGCCTGTCTAGTCAAAACATCTCAGCCCCCAATGACTTTTATGCATATCATGCATATAAGCATCTGAATTGGATCTGCGCTCCCAGCCCCACACTTATCCCTCCTGGAAACCATCAGATTTTCATTGAATTCAACTTCAGACTGCTTAAACTCTTGGTGGTGCTGCACATTAGTTTGATGCAAGTTTGTCTAATGTGTCTGACAAAACTTTGAGGTCACCACATTGACTATCTGTCCAAACTGACTTGAGTTTTGACTTTGAAAAGAATGTGTCTTTCCCTCGTGGCAGCATTCCCTCTGTGAAATTCGGAGCATATTCCATAAGGGTCTTCATGTGTTTCAGCAAAATGAAAGTTCATGGAAATATGGTAAGTGAGGAAGGAACGAGATTTAAAGTAGAGCAAAAGACTTAGAATCCTCTAAAACTCGTGGAAAAGAAGTAAAGGTGAACAAGAACTTAATAGAAAGCCAAATGGCCTCTAGTTAACAAAGTACTAAACTATACAGATTTAGACTATACATTCCTGTGTGTTAATGGAAAAGTTATTACTAAGATTTTGTAACACTGGGTGACTTGGGGTAGAAGCTGTCCCCCTGCAACGATGAGCTCACAGAGCCCTTTCTGAAACAACCATCTGCTGTTGGAAAAGGCAAGAGAAGTGGGCGTTCCCTTGAATGCTTTTTGGAATCACAGGCTTAGTCAGTGTAAAGTATGTGATTTCTTACATCCTAGATTGCCTCAGTTTCTTCTCTTGAGTCTCAGAAATCTTGGAATAGAACCGTTAAATAGAAGGAGATGACATCACTGGGAAAGAAGATAGTAGAACAGGATGATTATGATAGAAGCTGGAGACAGTCTCCGTGAGAATACTAGCATGACGTCTTTTCTCTGAGCAGCCAGTTAAAAGGTGATCTTCCTTTCTGAACCAGTAATAAATTGCTATGGCTGCATATAATGGTGAGTTTTTGATCAATGCAGCACCCAGTGCAGTGCAGTGGAAAACTGTTTTGAAAGTGGGGGAGAGGGGTCTGGGTAGAAAATTACTGTCCCATTAAATAATGCTACTGATGACTCACTATTTGGTGTGCAGATACAGCTGCCAGAATGCATTTTTCAGCTTATCTTTGCACAGGAGTGTGGACAGAAGAGGAGAAGAAAAAGGGGACAGAAAAGAGAGAGATGGAGAAAGGTTAAGAGTTTTTTGAGGCTGCTTCTGCTCTTCCAGGATATGTTCTTTGCCCTCCCTAGTGAGTGGTATATGCTGATAACTTGTAGTACTTGTAATCTTCCTTGAGCACCCTATCTCCATGGGAAGTTAGCAGGTTTATGAAGTTCCTGAGTATGTGGACAACTCCTTGAATGGATGAAAAACATTCCATTGCATTGTAAGGGATGAGCCAGACACTACTCAGTGACACCCATGTACACTTGGCTATATTCAGCAAAAGGGTAACACTGTCCTGTCAAACTATGCAAGTTCCCCTTTTGAAGCTGTGAGCAAATGGTTGTTTCCTCCAGCAGTTCCTGTA